AAATAATCAAATATTTTTTAATTTAAATTAATCTATTTTTTGAATTGTCTAGAAAAGTTATGATTTCATGATTTTTAATACAAACTGTACTATATCATATTTATATTTTTTTACATATAAAATTAATTACAAATTCTTTACCAGAATAATCAAATATTTTGGAATTCCATAATAAATGAATGAGCAAGAGTTTAGAAATATTGTAAATAAAAATAATATATATATATCTATATAATGTGTTCAATTTAATGAGAAATAATAGTTGATTTATCGTAGATGTTTTAGACGAGAACATACGAGGTAATACCTGGTCACCGTATGAGAAAGTTTATCTCATACGTATTTAACGATGTTTGATAATACTTGTGATAACCAATGCTTTCAGTGATCGCCTACGTTTAATTAACAGAGTAGACACCGGGGAATAAGTAACAACATGGAAATACTATGGCGCGTTTACGACCCTAACGTCAAAAGCACAGATAGCTGGGAGGGAAAAGGAAGAAGAGAGAGAGAGAGAGAGAGAGAGAGAGAGAGATAGAAATAGAGATAGACGGATGAATGGATAGATAGATAGATAGATAGATAGATAGATAAATAGATAGATAGATATATAGATAGATGGACTGATAGAGATGGTACGAGAATATAGTTTGCGATTGCTATTCATGGAACGTCATTCTCCTCGAAGGCACATACCAGAAATGCATTGCTCATTGCAGATAATATTATAAATATATACAAGGTGTTCAAGTATTAAACAGTTAACTGTGATTGACTAATATACACGTTACAGAAAAATAATATATTATTTGTTACGAGTATACTCGTTATGTTGTAAAAGTAAATAACATTTTGTTATTTAAATTGCAATATTAATTATATTTGAAATGTGTGTGTGTGTTCGTAAGATGTTTTTTAATATTTAAAAGGATCATGAAGAAATAAAACGAATAAAGTATATGAATGATTTATTATGAAAATGTTGTATATAGTACGAACATCGTTGAAGATCTACTTGGTTAATTATATTTAACGGTAGACGGATTATCCGGAATGATTTTCTAGATTATGTATTAAGCACATCATTGTAAAGTAATCCCATATAAAGATGATTATATTATTATAATAATATTGTATTTGGATAAATAATCAAGATAATGGTTTTCGAATTTGCGAAGTATCATTCAGATTCCATTTTTTTGTATGAATTTATTTCATAAATATATAATCGATTTATATTTCTAATATATACTCAATACTTATCAATTATGTTACCAGAAAAATAAATGTATAATAAATAATTAAGAAAATATAAATAGAAATTAGATTTATATATAAATCTGAACTTTCCAAGCAATACAA